CCAAGCTTTAATTATGTTGATCTTAAAGTATATATAATACTTAAGTTATTTAAGCATACTTTCTTTTAGGGGTAATTGATGTGATGAAAACTAAAAAATACTTTAATCAAAAACAGATTTCATTCACACTGATTTCTTACATTTTATTTTTTAATGAAGCTAGTTTTCAATCCTCTTCATGAATCAATATCAGGTTTAATGAACAATGGTGGAGGGCATATTTTACATACATTCAAAAGTAGAAAACAGCAATATAATTTGATTTTATTTATCTCACACTTTAAAAAGAAAAAAAAAGACTTCAAGATGTAATGGAACATTGGTCTCATCACGTTTCAAGCTCCATAATAAACTGATTCATCAAAGTGAAAGTTAGATTTAAAAAACAAAACAAACACTGACATTAACTTTTCATTAAACCAGTCACTAGAACAACCAAAATAACTTCTTCTGTAATTTTTCAAAAACAAAAATAAATGATAAAAAAAACTATATATTTTGCCGAAAAACTTTGAATGATAACTCGTCCAACAGTCTATGAAAAATATATCTAAACATATTGCTCAATTGATTCGTTAAAAGTAATTACAATTCATATGAAGAGGCAACATTTGTGACAACAAAATGTACTTGTATTAAGACAACTATTCATAATACAAAATGGACTATGTAGTGCTTGGCAAGTAGTAGTGAAATTATTGGATGTATATATTTATATTATTCTTTCATTGTTGAAGTAACCCTTTAATTTTAAAAAATGTGACTTACTTGTATCATCTTAGGGTTGGCACTAAGATATCAAAGACCAAGAGAAATTTTAAACATCTAACCTTTACATATACTACAGATTTCTGGCTACAGTTGCAACAAGCATACACTTCTCTTATCACTTAGTTCCTGATTCATCTATTATGATGATAAGATCCTCCTTGACTGGTAACTATGTAATTGAAAAATATCTTAATAAGAAACTGTATGCCTAAACTATGGAATCATAAGAACAAAAAATCCTACATTTTTACATTGTTGAATGAATGTTCTTCTACAATAAAACTGTAAAATTAAAGAAAACGGATGTGAAAAGATTAACAGTTAAAACTGGTTTCATTTGTTATGAAGTTTGCGCAAAGCTACACGAGGGCTATCTGTGCTAGCCATCCCTAATTTGGCAGTGAAAGACTAAAGGGAAGGCAGCTAGTCATCATCACCCACCGCCAACTCTTGGGCTACTTTTTTACCAATGTTTTTGTTATGAAGTTTGCGCAAGGCTACGTGAGAGCTATCTGTGCTAGCCACTTGTGTACAGGCTATACTTT